TTTAGCACTGTAGTTGGAGCCTGTAGCTTGCATGGGAATGGGAGCAGGGGAGATGGAGCCCATCACCAGGGACTCAGGTTTCTTTCAGTAGAAACATGCAGCTCCTGAGATGAGGCAGGTGGTTGTGATGAGATGGGAGCTGAGGCTGCCCATTCCTGGCCATTGCGGGTCTGTCTGGAGAGGAAGGTGGCTGCTGAATCCTCACTTCTCAACAAGAGCAGAAACTTTGTGACTCAGGAGACAAGTGAGGAGCATCTAGACAGCACTCTGCCAGTGACAGAGCTATGAATAGGCTCAGAAGCACCCACAGCCACCCATGAGGTGAGAAACTGCTGCTTTCCTGCTCTGCATTACCATGTCACCATCTCCCCACCCCTCTGTCTTGTGTAGCTTCCGGCAGCTGTCCTCCTGGGGCCAGAAAAAGAGCCAGAAACTGGGACTGGGAGCTTGCTCTTGCTCCCCATCCCTCTGATCACACACACCAAGCAGATGCCATCATGGCCTAGATTACACAGGCAGCAGGGTACCCAAGTGCAGCATCACCATCTGAGGGCTCAGAAGCAAGGATGCTCCTGCAGGCAAGGATGTTGGATAGGCATCTCTGGATATGCTCCAAAAACTTCCCAGAAAAGTGCCAGAGTGCCTCCAAAACTTCTTACCCTCAGAACTACCCTGGCAGCCTCCTCAGCAAGGTTTGCAACCACATCATGGGCATGGGAGGATCTTCACCCTCTGCCTGGTGTGTTATCAGGGCTTCCTCTGAGCTCCAGGGAAAGCCATGAGGGATTGCAGGCACAGGTTTAGGTTCCTTCTTCTCCTCCTCCTCCAGCCTATCTTGCTTTCCTCTCCTCCATCCAAGCTATGGCAGACCATCCCACCAAGCAAAGCACTGCGGCGGCCCTTCCTAGAGCACAGCGGCCACCCCTCTGGTGCCCCCCATCCCACATCCCACACTGGGATCACAGCACTGGAGGAGATCAAAGGTTCTGCTACAACTGCAGGTAATCCAGCCAGGCAGGCAGAGGGATGCGCTCTCCATCACAGACTCTATCTGTCTCCAAGAAGGATAAGCCTAAATCCTCTGCTGTATTTCCCCTCCCTCCCCTCTCTAGTCCCGAAGATGTGATGTGACTTGTGGCTGAGACCAACAGGCAATATTCAGGAACAGGTCCAGGAAAAACGTGTTGCTTGGGGCAGGGAGGGGACAAGGGTGACTGAAGCCATAAAGGAAGGGAAGGATACCCGCAGTCTACAAGCATCCCTCCTTGCAGATCCTGGCTCTGCAGGCTCTCACCCTAAATAAACCATGTGGAGGGGCCATGTCTCCCACCCCAGAGGCTGGCAGAACCAGCCAAGGTGGATGTCCTCACAGGAGGTGGCAAGCTTACAGGCAACCAGTCCTGTGTCAGTGACATCGGAACCCAGCCTGGATCCTGCCTTCAAGACTCAACTCAGACCCTACCACTGCAACCCTGCTAAGGAGGAGGACAACAGGAAGAGACCCATGATGCAGTAAGGAGGCCTTCCCCCTCAGGAGCCCCAGGCCAGTGGGTTCTGGGGAGAAGGGGTTTTGGGAAAGCATGCCAGGTTTTCCCTCCATCCCTCCAAGGGAGATGGCTGAGGTGGCTTCACCTCCTGCTCACCCATCACCCTGAGCTGCTGTCATGGCAACACACACTCTGATGCAGGAAGCAATGGGTGCTTCTGCTTATTTAACCGAGGAGGAGGTGCACCCTCCTATTTGAACAGGGAAGGAGAAGGGAGCAAGTGAGACAGTTGGCATGGGAGCTCACACAGAGGCTGACCTGGACCTGCATGATGCCACCTATGAGAGGGGTACAATGGTCAGCCACTGTGGCTCCACTCCTATGGCTGAGAAACGTGCTCATGGTGATGAGGATACTGCTCCATACCACATGAACAGGGGTTGACCTCCACAGGATGAAACTGAGACTGAGCACCCACCATGACATGCTGGGTGCTCAGCACCAGCCTCCCCCTCCAAAGGGCAGAACACACCTCAGTGAGTCAAGACTCAATAAAACACCTCAGGAAGGTCCCCAGATATTCACCAGGGGCTGCAAAGAAAACACACGCTGCCCAGCACCACCAGAAGCCCTCTGACAGTAGCTCCTATACTGGTGGGTGGTGGCTGTCCTCTCCAGCCATCACCCAGGACCAGCCACAGTACATCCAGCATCACCCATGGGCCATGAGAAGCTGCTGAGCATAGAGCCTTTCCTTTGAAACCCCACTCATACCTGCAGGGGAAGGAGGCAGTGCTTTGATTTCAGAGCTCTTGAATCCAAATGAGCATAGGCAAGCCATCCCCGCGCCAGGGAAGAGCTGCACGGCAGTCCAGTGACCTTCTACACCACCTCCACATCCCAGCCCCCAGAGAACAGGGGGAAATCTTGCTCGCAGCAGCTCTCTGCATGCAGTGCCTCACTACTGGGAAGGCAGTACCAGCAGCAGGCGGGCGGTCTTGGTTCCCTCCGGCACAGAGGAGGCAGGAGCTGGAGGAGGGAAAACTATTTAAGGAGTGCTGAGAGGGGCCCATGCTGCAGAGCTGCCTCCAAACTTTGCTGATTTTCGAGCTGAGCCCATAGGAGAGACACAAGGCAGTCAGGAGCACAGAGCCCACTGCTTCACACCACTGAGGTCCTGGCTGGGCAGCCAGACCGCATCTCGGCAGTGCAGACTGCTGCAGTGACACACCATGGAGAAGACCGTCACCAAGCTCAGCAGTGCTAAGAGCAGCTGCACTGCTGCCCCTCTCACTCCACACACCAGACGCCCAGCCATCAGGTATCGCAGTGAGTCGTGAGCCAACCATCCTCACAGCCCTGTGTCCCCCACCTTTCCCCAGCACTGCCTGCACAACAGACCCTCCCACCAGGGCTGTGGTGCAAGACACAGAAGCTGCAGGCTTCATGCCAGACTCTGGGCTCAAAGCCAGGCCCACTCTGCAATCCAGTGGTCAAACCCCATACGAACCCTGCCTGCAGCCTGCTGACCTAAATTAGCTCTGGCGAAGGGGCAAAGGCAGATGCTCTCCTGTGCTGCAGTCTCAGCCTTGCTGCCTTCTGCCTAAGGAGAAGAGGGGCTTGCTCAGAGTCACCAAAGTGGCTTCTTCATGAACCTCTTAAGAAAAGCAAGAAGCAGGCAGGAGGGAGGCAGGGGTTATCACTGCTGCGCCCTGGCACGTCTCTCCATTCCCCCCAGCTGTGAACTGGGTACTTACATTTCCCAAAGGCGGATGAGAGCTTTTTCTGGCTATCATCCAGCAATGATGATTTCATTCCTAGAAGCGATGCTCAGAGGGGAGGGAAACCCAGTTCCACATAACACATTCATGGCTGATACACCTGAGAATCCCAGCCTTTTTCCTGCAGCTCTGGTTCGATGGCACTGGAATGGAATGGATGGCACTGGAACCCTGCTGAGGCACATACATTTCCCCCTGGTCTGACCTCAATATATTTCATCTATATTTGATGTCTCCCACCCACATCATACAGTTGAGAAAGCCTCTGTGGTATGGGGCATTATTTTTTGCAATGGGAGAGACCTAAAAGAAGGAAACGACCGGTAATACACAGATAAAACAGTTTAATGTGTCGCTGTACATGGGCAAGCCCCTGCAAGGTGCTGAGCAGACCCTTACACTGGGCACCCTCAGCTTTTCCTCCTGGATGTCAGCCCTGATGAGCAGCCTTAAGCAGCCCACTGCTCCCCATCTCCAGGAGAGGCTATGGGGGGATAGGTACCTACTGAAACCATCTGTAAAATGAGCAGCAGCCAAAGCTGTATCTGATGTGCCCCATGTCCACCCTGCTGGGAACTGAGTGCAGCTGTGTGCTCCACTCCAACATCTGCCTGTCCTGTGCACCCAAAGAGCCATGGAGCTGCTGCTAATTTCATTAGCAGGCCTGTCAAGCGGTTCATCAGTCTCTGATTTCCTGGCTTGTCGCCGCGAGGAAACAAGCAGGATCTGCTCTGCATTCACAAAGCCACCCTCTGGGGTAATTTGTCTGAAGGTTTACAATTTCCCGTGTGGATTATTATCCGGGATTAGAAGTGGGGGAGCGAGGGGGGTTGCTTCCTTTTGGGTTTTTCCCCTGGAATAAGCCTGAATATCCCCTAACCTGCCAGTTCCCCAGCACGGAGGCAGCAGTTTCCCTGTCCCCGGGCCAGGCGGGATCACAGGCACCCGCTGCCCCAGGCTGGCTGCATGCCCTGGCCAGCCCTGCTCAGCAGCAGCAGCAGAGATGCAAAGCCCCCAGGCTCTCAAGCGAGAGGGGCACGGATTAGGTGCATGGGGCCGGCAAAAGGGAACTGAGAATCATAGAAACAACCAGGTTGGAAAAGACCTTTAAGATCATTAGTCCAACCGTTACCCCAGGACTGCCAAGACCCCCACTGCCCCATGGCACTGCGGGCCTCATCTGTATGGTTTGTGAACACTTCCAGGGACGGCGACTCCAGCACTGCCCTGGCCAGCCTGTTCCAATGCCTGAGCACTCTCCCTGCAGGGAGCTCCGGCTCCATCGGGAATCACTCCAGGTTCCCCTGCCGGGCTCTTGGCATCGCAGCGGGACGCGAACCCAGGTCGCCAGCGAGGGTCCGGCTGCTGCGGCCGCCGCCATCCCCTGCGGCTCCGGGCTCGGCGGCTGCAGGCGCGGCGGTTCGGCGGCTCACAGCACCCCCTGCTGGCGGCCGCGCCGCACTAGCAAGGCGACAGCGGCTGAGCGGGGCGGCAGCGCGGCTCGGCTCCCCAGGGGATGCTGGAGGGGGGAATGCGCCGTCCGGAGCCGGCAAAGAACGAGCCGCAAGATCGGGGTCCATAAATCACAGGAAAAGGGACAGCTGCGAGCCAGGGCTCTTGGTGCTGTGAGAAAAGGCAGAGCAGAAACCACCTCGTCTGCAACCAAAATCATCTCAGTAATTAAAAAAACAAACAAACAACTAACCAACCAAAAAAAAAACCAAACCAGAAACCCTACAATTTAATTTAGAGATGACAAAAAACCTTTTATCTTACCCCAAATTCTAATTTCAGGGTGATTTGACCTTCACCACAACATACATGGGAGGTAAACTTTTCCAGGTACCCCTCCATGCAGCCTTCATGTCCCACCTTCTACTAAGGCAAATAGGAGGAAGAAGATGTGATGGGCGTAGACCTCCTGCAGAAGCTGGAAAGAAATGTTAACAGTGGCATTAGCCATTCTCCTCCTTTTAGTGATCCAAGTCCCAGGTCTCAGATGAAAAGCGACAGGCCAGAGGAGGAGCTAGGACAATCACCTCATTTGGGGCCATCTCAGGAGCTGCCATCAAGGCAGTGGCAGCAGCAATGCTAAGGACCTGAGGGAAGTCCCTGGCAAGGCAGCCTTAGGATCTGCATTGTGAAATAGCAAACGCTGTCTCAGCAGAAGGCCAGACATCACCCAGCTGACCTCTGCACCTCCTCACGGTGTCCCACCAAGTAAAGCTTTCACCTCATCCTCAAGCAGACTGTCTGAGCTATCAGAGAAGTCCTCCAGATCCTGCTGCCTCATCTTGGACTCCAGAACAGTGATGCGCTGCTTGAGTTTCTTCTGGGCATCATTGTACTCTGTCAGGACCCGGCCAAAGCGTGTGTGCAGTGTGTCCAAGTTCAAGGCCAGACTGTCCAGCCTCTCCTCCATGCTCTTCCCTTCCGTGCTTTCTTCTGTAGCCGTCTCATCCAGCAGCCCTTCCTTGATTAGTATCTCCCGGCCACGCTCCTCCAAGATCCTTTTGGCATCAGGATACTCTGTGACTGCTTCCATAAGATCTTCCTTTGACAAGCAGAAGAGATCAGAGTACCCCAAGCTACGGATGTTGGCTGTGCGCCTGTTGCCCATTTTGCTGCCTTTAATGTTGAGGATGCTGATCTCACCAAAGCAGCTTCCTGCAGTGAGCAAAGCATACTGTGTCGTTCCATCATCTCCCACCACAGCCAGCTTCCCCTCCTTGATGATATACATCTCTTTCCCAATGTCTCCTTTCCGGCAAATGTAATCCCCTGGGCTGAACACCTGAGGGCGAAGCTTCAGCACCAGCTCCACCAGTAGATCTGCCTCACAGTTCTGGAATATCCTCACCTTCTTCAGTGTCTCCAGGTGAACGTTGATGGCAATCTCTGCCCTTAACTTATCAGGGAGATTCTTGAGGACTTCCCGTTCGTCTACTGCTTTCTTGTTGGTCCACACATAGTCAAACCACTTGATGACTTTGGTTTCCATGTCTTTGCTCACCTTGTGGAACTGCATGTAGTGTTTGATAGCATCAACTTTTGCCTGGAACTCTGCCCTAGTGGCATTCATGTTAGATATCATGGATCCCACATTCCCCACAATGGTGGCAAAGATGAGGACACCGATGAGGAAATCAAAGATCACAAAGAGGTATTCTTCATCAGTCACAGGCGGAGGGGTCTCTCCAATAGTGGTCAAAGTCAAGGTAGACCAGTAGAGACAGTAGACGTACCCCAGGGTCAGATTACTGTATTCAGGGTCTGTGATGTTGGGATAGACCCAGCTGTCCTTTCCAAGCCCTATGGCCTTGGAGATGGCATAATATATGCATGCATTCCAGTGGATGATGACCAGGATGTAAAGAACCAAGTTGCTGATGCGGAAGATGTTGGGGTGGCTGGTTCTGGTCTCGGTCCTATTGAAGAACTCAAACATGCGGGAGAAGCGGAGCAGCCTGTTGAAACGCAACTCAGGGCAGTGCAATCCCACAGTGAAGTACACCAGGTCTGTGGGCAGGATGGAGAGAACATCCAGCTTGAACTGTAAGGTATGGATGTAGTTATCCCGTAACTTCTTCGTGTCCTTAACCAGGAGCCCCTGTTCCAAGAAACCTAATGGACAAGCACATGACAGAATTATCTTGGCTAATGTTCAACTCTACTGCAGGGTTTGTAAGTGTTTTTGAGAAATATTTTATGGGATGACATGCACATGTATGCACAGGGTCATGCAAATACTACCATTTCCACCTGACCTACTCCATTTACAAGCTTTTGTTACACTCAAGCCCTTCATCTGGCAAAAGCCACCTAAAGATACCACTTAGGGATTTAGTCTGTTGCTACGAAGAAATGGGGACACAAAGGTTTCCATCCTCCAGGTCATGAATTATTGCAGTTCTAACAGAAATGTACAGCTACCTGCCACGTTCTGAGAACACTAAATTCTACCGTTTTCTCATGTAGATAATTCATTAGCTGAACTGATGCAAAATCAGAGATGCAGACCTTCAACTATGCCCGAACACTAATAGCAATGCAGGTAATCTGGTACAATTATTCAAAGGTGAAGCTGGAAGCTGGGATGATTAATCTTTCACTCTGAAACTGACTCTGTTTCTCAGATTTTTCTCATTAGATTCTTTCTGTGGAGACTGCTTCCTATTAGTGACTGCCAAGGGAGACAAAACCCTCCCTCTAATGGAGCTGTAGATTAGGTCTCTCCCTGGCAGATCATCTCCGCTTTTAGGAGCACTCACAAGCAAGGGTTCTGTTTCTGCTTACCTGTGCGCAGGCGGATCACTATGTCCCCAATGTAGATAGAGTCCGAGACATAGTCTAACACCAGCCAGAGGACAACATAGGTCTCTTGCAGGTCATTGAAGCAAGCCCTGGAGGAAGGTCATAAATTAGGGTGGTGAGACCAACAAATCTCCATATCATCTCCAGTTACTACAGATGCATAGGCTGATTCTGAGGCTCCTAACCCTGCAACAGAGCTTGGCCATTTGCCCCTCTTCTCCTAGAAATTAAAACCCCCTTCTCTGAAAACCCTCTCTTCACGTAGGTGAAGCAATGTCTTGAAACCACCTCCCAGGTATACCTTACAGCTTTACCCCAAAATCATGGTCCTTTCCAACCAGGGCCAGAGGATGGATGCTCTGCCTCTGCACCATAGAAGTCACAGAGATAGCAGGGGATCCCTTTCCTTTAGGTTCATGCCTGCCCCAGCACCACCAGTGTCATTTGTCTGATACCAGCTGAGCAATGACAACGAGGTGAACAGGAGGAATAGAGGAGAGAGGGAGCCTACAATCTCCCAACTCACCTGGCTACAAGCAAGCACCAGTTATAGAGGACAGGAAATGCAATGACAGCCAGCCAGCAGTAATACCAGTCCCCTGCAGGGTCCACCACAAAGATCTGCCATTTCTTCCTGGAACCAGAGAGAAACCAGAGCTGGCAATGAATAAATAAAGGGCTAAATACAGAAAATATGGTTGGAAGGAACCATCTTTTAACCCTTGCACTGGACTGGTTTAGAACATAGCTGCAGCTTGAGTGCCAGTCTGTAAGATAAAACCAATCCCAGCAGTGCTGAGCAAAAATGTCCAGCACTGTTTAAGCTTTTTTATCCCTAAAACTGGGCTCACTAATGTACCAGAAGAGGAAACTGTAGGACATTAAGGCAGAGCCGGCAGCCTACATACACCCAGCACCACAGTGGCAAAGCCAGAAACAGATGTGTGGAAGAGGATGATCAGAAAACTTCTCGTTACATGACATTACCTCTCCCAGATGAGGTATGGATCCATGCCAGACAGATCTTAAAAGAAGATCAATTAGAGCAGGAAGGAAAGTGTTCTGCAGATCAGTGAGAGCACCAAGAGATGCCCAAGCCCCAGAGCAGCAACCCAGGGGAGCTGGCATTGCAATGCTGCCATCACCATGCTGCTTGTAGCTGCCTGCCTGCAGCCTGCTCAGTCCTGGTCCAGCCTTTGAACTGCTCCCAAGTGTTTGATCCTGCTCATCTTGGGACTCTGAGATTAGCTGTGTGTGCTCCGGTAGCCAGATCTCACTGGAGAAGCTGGGGGGAAGAGAAACTCTGCAGCTGGGCAGATAAGCTCAGTGGCTGCAGCCTGGTAGGGCAAAACTCTTTCCCCTCCCTCCTTTCCCACTTTTGAACATGGAAAACTCCCTCCAGCGATAGGAAAAAAACAACCCACTTGCCAACAGATTCCCCACGCCCACCCCATTGCTTCTGACAGCTTCAAAAGCAAACCCTCTGCATTGAAGTCTCCTTCCCCAGCGGCACAGGCGGCAGCACTCACAGTGCCCGGAACATGGGGAGCAGCACTCAGCACAAACCCAGCAGCAGTCCTTCACACTCCCTCTGGATACAGCACAGACAAGCTGGCAGTCCAGCTTCCCCATTAGAAGTGCTTATCTTTTGCTCAGAAAGAGCCACTTTAATGGATTTTGAGATAGGGATTTCCTGGTCCCCAGCACACTGGAAGCACTGACACCCGTAGCCAGACACTTCTGTTGTGACACCCACAAGCACTAATAACCTCAATAACAATGCTGATAATGGTAATTCCAGCTTTAAATCACCAGCGCTGCCCATGCCATGTGGAAACCAGAGCTCTGGGTTAGCCCAGGAAGAGGGAATCTGCCTCTTCCTTAAGGCTTTGCAACCATGGAGTCTCCCATGGCTGTGGGACACAGCAGCTCACATTCAGAGTTACCTGTGGTTACTTGCCCTATGGTACTTACCTGTGGAGCTGTGGACCAGAAAACAGCAGAAGTTACCACCATGTCCTCAGGAGTCCAATGGCACCAGGAGCCCTTTCAGGGCATGCTTCATCTCCCTCTGATAATTAACAATCTCTCCTTAACCTCACAGGGCAGAACAATTTCCATGCCCAGTAAAGGCCCGGATACAAGGCTCAGATCTTTTTCTCCTACAGAAAACAATTGCTTCTTGGTGTTTTAATTACCACGGATAATGGCAGGGTACAGAGGAGTCCATGAGCTTTGCCCTTTAATCAGCCAGCAGAAGAAAAGCCAGGTTATAGCTTTGCACCAGGAATGAGAGCTGAGGAGATGAAAGGGCTGGATTTGAAAGAGCCTTTTCACAAAGCTGCCGTCACAGCATCTGCTCCTGGGGAGGCCAGGGCAGCAAACACACTCCCTTCATCCTGCAATGATGAGACTGGCAAACCCCATGTGTTCGTGCTTGCTGTGGTCTCCTGTATGGAGATCCCACATCCCTTGCCTTGTCCCCAGCTCCCCATATGCACAAAAGCTGAAGGTATGTCTCCTCACAGACCCAGGGCTGGCTCTAAACACCAACCCTAGTGTTGAACTGCTCTGGAAATGGGGAGCTCTGCTAGCTGTCACAAGCCATGCAATGTGTGCTTCCCACCAGGGCATGCACCAGGGAAGAGAAGGCCACATAGGCAAGGTACAGTCCAGGTCTTTTCCACAGGGACAGACTACCAGGTCCTATGTGCCAGGCTGGCCGGAGAGGGCAGGGAGGACCCTTCCTACCACTGCATCCTACCACTCCCTTTCCCATCCCCATCCATCAGCCATCACCACTGGAGCCCCCAAGCCCTCTGCATGGCTGTCTTAAGCCAAGGACGGCTGTGGCCACAGGAAAGCAACCCTACTTCTTGTTTCCCTCCTCGGTCTCCTCATCCTGTAGGTCACTGGCGATTCTGGCAGCCGCTGCCTGGAACTCGGTGCCCTGGAAGCGCTCAAGGAAGGGGTCTGGCTTTTGCTGCTCCTCGTGCAAGCTCCTGCTGGCCCAGTCCCTCAGCACCATCACCAGCCGGACTATCCTGGATGGGGGAAAGAGGAAAGAGTCAGAGCGAGGAGAAGGCTTCAGAACCAGCGGAGTGGTTACAGCTGAGACGAAAACACTCACAGGTCCCTCTAAACCCCAACGTTTCCTTTCTCCTCCCTTGCAGTGATGCTCATTTGGTCATTTCCTGAGGGCAGCAGCTCCAGAGGAGCCTTCAGCACCACGGCGAGGGGAAGCTCATGGCCCAGGAGCCTCACTTCTGAGCGGGGGGAGCCCCCGGGGGACAGGACTTGTCCAGGAGCCAGAGCCCCGCTGCGGAGAGCGGCCCGGCCCGGGGATGGGGAGCGCCAGCCTGAGAGCCCGCTCCGGGAGCTCTGCTCTGGCTGCCCCGGCGGTGGCAGCGTCGGCACCAGACAGAGCCGATGAGAGGGGAGGCTGCAGTGCAGAGCTCGGGGTGCAGAGAGTGCCTGCACTGGTCTGGTGAGGGAAAGGTGCACGATGGGCAGGGCTGCACTCGGAGCTCCCTGGTGCAGGTCCTCCTGCAGCAGGGGCTGAGCTGCGGGATGCTGTCGGCAGCTGAAATGTCAGGGGCGCTGATGGGGGAGCCAGTGCAGGAGCCTCAAGCGTCCATCTTAGTTCATGCAGAAAAGGAGGGCATTAACCCAGAGAGCTGGGAGCTAGTAATAAAGTAACAACAACAAAAGGAGGAAGAGGGCAATTTAAAAGCAAGGGGCTTCCTCTAAAATCTGATATTCCCATCCAGAACTGCTTCATAGTTCTGCAGGGGGCTGGCACAGCAGAGGGGTTGGAACTTGATGATCTCAAGGTCCTTTCCAACTCTAACTATTCTGTGATTCTGTGGTGTGGAACCAAGAATATGAGCAAGAGGGCTCACCCTGGCAGAGTCCCATGGCTCCTTCCCCAGTCCTGCTGCCATTCCCGCAGGGGCATGAGGAAAGCATGGGTGATGGGACAGAGTGAGGCTGCCTGCAACTGAAAGGAGCCCCCAGGCCCACAAATGTGATGAAACCATTCCCTCCTGAAGTTCTCTCCATGGCACCATTCACAGATGCTGGTCCCTGCAGCCACTGAATGCCATATAGCAGGAGGGGATGCTGACCCCAGGGTCAAAGCCAGGTACAGAAGGCTCAGGCTCACACGCAGGTACCTGGCCAAGGTTCTCCTGCCTTGGAAGGCAGAGGCAGGCGGCTGCTCCCCTCCATTCGAGGGAGTTCCTCTCTGCAGCTCTGAGGTGTCAGCTGGAGTTGAGCAGGTCCTGCAGCAGGGAAAGAGAGGGATCTCAGTCACACTGTGCCATCATGGCACCCACCCACAGCCAGGTGAATGGGAGGAAGCAGGCTGGGCATCCCAGCCCTGCCCGTGCCAGGTCTCAGCCACACACAGAGCTGATCCTCCCCAGCCCTGCCTCCCCCAACCCCACCAGGGACCAGCCTGACCTCGTGGTGAGCCCTGTTCCCTCCACTCGGGCTTGCCCAGGTGGGCAGGGGTGGTGGTTGGCCGGTGAGCTCTGCAGACTGTTATTCTTGGCCATCATCCTCCATGTGAAGAGACCGTGGGCACAAACCCTGCCCCAGAGACCTGCATAGAGCAGAAGACAGACACAAGGAGCAGCCGTGCAGGACACCTCATGTGGTTTGAACGCAGCATAGGAAGAGAGGGTCAAACCCCGCGGGGTGTTTTCCACCCCCAGCCCTTGCTGATGCTATGTTGTCTTGCAGAGCATTTCACCCTCCCCAAGAGATCTCACATCGCCCCATCAAAGATGCTGCTGGCTCCTCAGCCATTGCTGGGGCAACAGCATCCCCAGTGAGTCATGGCATGACAACGAGCCCATGGCTCTCAGCCCCACTGCCTGCCCAAGGATGAGAAAATAGACTCATAAGGGGTGCAAGCACAAAGCCAGGCCTGGCAGGGAGATGCTGTCATGCATGACTTTGTGTACAAGGGTGTCTGCACCTGAGCAAGTGCTCTCCTTCCCCAGGGCACAGGAACCTGCTGGTGTCCTGCCCAGAGAGCCCCATCTCTCATCACCACATATCTCTGCCCTGCATTGGACATTAAGGTTTGCTATTTAGAGTCTTGCTGAGGTTCCTGCTGGCAGGAGCTACGACCTGGCTTCAGAGAGCAGCAGAGAAGACCCCACGTTAACACGCAGAGGCTGCTGTGGAGCAGTGGAATTTCACCAGGGTTTGTCTCTAATAAATGAGAGGTGCCCACAGGGCTTGCTCGGCCCCAGCACCACGCAGAGCCCTCACTGCTCTGCTGTGCCCTACTATAGACCACACAGTGCCAAAGTACCTCACAGAAACACAGATCTGCACATACATAAATCCAAAGGCACACAGGCATTGCCCAGCCCTACCCAGACCATGTATTCCCACTCCACCTGCTCCTCCTTGGGCACACAGCACACCCGTTATACCTCTATTGCAAGGATAAGGCAGGGTCCTGGAGACCACGCACTCATGCCTGCACAGCAGAGGCTCTGCTTGGGGAAGGCAATGCCTTGTACACCTCTGCCAACACGCATAAAGGCTCCATCCCCACCACACGCACAGGCAGTCACACACCCCTAGGCACAGTGAAGCCTCTGCTGAGAGGCCACCACTGTTCACTTACGAGCCTAGTGTCCCCTGAAGCCTTCCACAAACGAGTGTTGAGCTGCAAAGCCAAGCCAGGAAAGCAGAGTTGTGCACTCCTGCTCTTCTCCCTGGCCGAGCAGAGGAGCAGCACTGCAGGATGCACATGCAGGTGATCGTCACTGCAGCACACCCATCCCCTGAGCATCCTCAACATCCTGAGCACCAAGGTGCACTTCAGAGCTGTTAATAGCAGCCAGCCTTTGTGTCTGGGGGATGAAAGGGGAGGAGGGAAATGTGCTGATCAGGGATGCTCCATTTCCCTACCCATGCGTCTCTTTCTCCCCCTGTCACTTCCTCAGTGGCAGAAGGGACCCCAGACATCTCTCAGGGCAGAGCCCAGCAGGAGATTGCAGCCATCCTGAGCAGGTCTGGGTCCAGTGGCTCCTGAGTCCCCAGCAAATCTTAGGGAAGCATCACTACTCACCCAGGGACAGGCAGAGCCAGCCCACCCCCAGGTCCTGCACACAAGGGACTGCAACAAGATTGTGTCCTGGGCTGCCTGCTTCTGCTCCCTAGGGAAGAAGTGGACTAGATGATCTCCAGAGGCCCCTTCCAGCCCTAACAATCCTGTGATTGCATTTCCCTGCTTCACAGGCTGTGCTACAGCTACTGCTCTGATGGAAGATCTGCAGAAGTAGACACGTTTTAAAATCCTCCCATCCATTTACCTCTCCTTACGCTCAGGGACCAAATGTGCTGCTCCGGAGTCCCAGCGAAGACAGCCGCAGTGTTTGAAGGTGACCACGAAATGCTTCTTTCACCAGTTTCTGCCTCTGTATTTTCTTCACAAAATCATTCTTATAGCATAGCCAGTTAGCAAAGAAGTTGCATCCTCAAGGCAGTAAGGAAGAGGTTAATTTTCACCTGTCTCTTGCCTAATCAGCCCCTGCTGTGTGCATGGAGTCCCACACCCTGTGTGAGGCTGATCTGAAAGCACCAGCACCGGGAGTCCCTTTGCTATCAAAGGTTTACCTTTTATTTTCCTTCAAAGCCTTTAATTCCACTTGTTCTGATCTCACTGAACACCCAGGCAGCAGGGAGCCTGAAGGTAGAAAGGGATGTTCTGCAGCCTTGGTGGGGTGAGCACCCAGCAGCAAGGGGCACATCACCCTGCTCCTGTCCTCAGCACTGGGGACCACAGACCAGGAGCACCGCCAGTGGCACGTGTCCCCGCTTCCACCTCTCCTTCTGCTCTCTGCCTGCTGCTGCCTTCAAAAGCAGCTCCAGGAGCTGCTCCCTCGAGCCCCATGGTGCACAAGATACATTATTTGCTATGCACATCTCTGTGTCAGTGACCCCAGGAGACACCCAGCACTGCCACGTGTGCTGCCCTGGGACAAGGCAGAGCTGGGAGGAGAAGGCAGGGAAGAGAGAAAGGAAATCCACAAAGCCATCACACCCCAACACATCCAGAACACAGAGTCTTTATTAAAATGTGCATTTTATGGGTCAGCGTTTCCGGATTTAAACCTCACATAAAAGTCGTATTGTATCCCCTCTAACCTGCCTTTGAGAACACATACAGTTTGATCATGTCTCTTCCAAATACCTTCAATCCTCACTTTGAAGGTGTCGTGTCCCCAAAAGGGTCAGCCCTTCTCATCCTAAAATACAGCTTAAAGGAAACCCAACACAAGCTTCTTCCAAACCCGAGAAGAGAAACCAGGCAAACTGTTCACCTCCTTTCCTCAGCAGCAGCCCCTTATACAGACCCACTGTGTAAGGTCCCCTGGTAACCCTCACCACATCCCTGAGCCACAAGCCATAGGAACCACACCACACTATCCTGGCGCTCATTTGCAATATATCTTAGTGCTCAGCTCTCAGCCACAGGCTCAGACCTGCAATTACATTAGGACAGCTACTTATTAGTCAGTGTCCGGATTTACAGCCATGGATGCAGGCAGAAAACACCCAAGCATTCATGTCTGTGAATAAGTTATTGGGACATCTGGGTGACCTGCAGGTGCAGCTACAATTACCAATAGGTGGAACAGAGAGGTGCCAAAGCCTGCCCCAGAGCCTGCAGGCACAGCTCCAGCAGGTGTGCTGGGTGAACCCCCGAAAGCATCTCAAAGTCACCTCAGTTCCAAGCGTTACTGAACTCCGCAGAAGGAAAGAAACGGCAAAGCTTTTGAGCTGGCCTTGGTTTTGGCTAAAGAGCATCCAGGCCAAGGATTCCCCTCACCTATGTTCGTGCACCATCACTGAAGTTACAGCTTGGCAGCAGACCTGGAGCAATCCTGCCCTCTGGCATTGGCAGCCTAACAAATATCTACTGCTGCCCAAATGGGCAATTTTCCATGGCCTGTCTGGTGCTATCACTGTTGGTACGAGGTCTCATAATCCAGAGAGTCACCACGGGGAGGTTTCCCATTTAAATCTCCCTGGGAAAGAGCCAAGCTGCAGGATAAGCCCAGACCTCAGCAATGCTCTTACAGTCACTTCGGATTTGAATGTTTGCAAACACGCCGCTGAAGTGCTTCCAGCAGGACAGGAGCCGAGAAGAGGGTTGCACAGCAGCGGGGATGGGAACTGCTGGCTCCTTCAGCTCTGTACCTCCTGGAGCAGGGGCTATGGGATGGGAGACCTGGCAGTAAACCTCCACCAAAGAGCAGTGGCACAAGGAAGAGAAAACCCACCAGCAGTTTAGATACACTCAACCACTCCGCAGGTTTTGGAGTGCAAGACAAGGAACAGACCCCAGCAGTTGGCTGAGGACTTCCACGGGGTCAGAACTGGGTTATCCAAGCTGTGACTGAATCAGGGGACTGGGCCCACCAGCATTTAGGACTGTTACAGGACCCTGTGTCCACAAACAGTGCCTTGGGTTTGCATCTCCTCTGGCAGACAGCCCAAGGACCAGAGGGTCTTCCACTGCTCCGTGCAGGACACACACCTCCTGTGTCAGCCACAAGACCTGGGCTCTTCACAGCATCCCACAGGAGCACTGACCCCATCAATCATACAAGGTGGTTGCTAGGGTACAGAGCATCTGCAGCTGCAGCCACAGCCCAGCCCTGGGACTATGCCTGTTGTGCTATAGTACCCCACCTCTCCCCAACACCCATCTCCAGCTGCTGTGGCACAAGGTCCAGCCTCATCGCTTCCCTCACCCACCTCTGATGCTAGAGCATGGGAGAGGGATGGCACCTTCATTGTCCTCAGGGTCTAAAGGACACAGATCCTCAAGGGCCTACAGTGAAAAAAGCAGGTCAAGGTCAGAGGAAACACATGGCTTCACAGGTTTACTGACTGCAAGTACATGAGCAGGGATCCTTGCTCTGCCCTCAGCCACCCTGCCAGCGCCGGGCAGGAGAGGTCAGGGCACAGGGAATCATCTCCTCATCCAGAGCCATGTGTTGATGAGGCAGGCGGAGATGAGCACGGAGTAGACCAGGATCTCCTTCTGCTGCGAGGCCTTGCACTGCTCCTCCAGCACCCGCACCCTGCTCGAGATCCTCGTCAGCTGCAAGGGAAGCAGTGGGGATGCTGTCAGACCTGCGCAGGACACTGGAGCACCCCAGAGCTGTGGGACAGCAACAGATGGAGGGGTGGGAACTGCCATCTCCTTCAGGTCCTCCTTTGCCAAAGCAGCAGCCGTCTTTGTGTGGGAGAACTAGCAGAGATCCTCAGCTCCTGAGCCAAGATCCTGCCCATCAGAAGAGTATCTGAGCCCTTTACTACCAGCAGACAGAGGGATCTGGCTGTCTCCTGCAGCCTTACAGCTCCCTCAGGGCTGGAGGTTGATGGGGCAGCACACATGTAAGTCCTCCCCTGCCTCTCCATTAGCAGCATCAGCTGGGACTAACTGGCAACACCAGAACATCAGGACTGAGCAATGGACCCCCAGAGCCTCCTCACTCACCTCCAGTGGCTTTCCCAGGAAATCTTCCCAGCCCTTCACCCCCAGCTCACCTGCTTTCTCATTGCTGCCATCTCAGTCATTTCAGCCTCCTCCAAGGCACTCTCTGGGGCTAGACCAGCCTCCTGGGAGCTGGGGAAGAAAAGCAGAGATGCAGAGAGACAAACACTGCTGGAGAGGTGCCTTCCCCCATGCATGGCACTGCTGCGGGGAGCCATGCAGGCAGCATGCCTGGGATGTGCTGTCTGGATGCAGCATCAGGAGACAGGAAACAGCACCTGCATAGCACCTCCTCATCTCTTCTGAGCCCCCATCATGCATAATTATACCCCTCCACCATGCACCCCATAGTGATCACAACACATGACACACAACAGGGAAAACACATGCTTGGATTTCCTTAGAGGTTCAACAGAGAGGAAACATATTTACCAAGCATCCATCCTCACAGTCAGAGGAATTCATTGAGGGCTGTATAAACCATCTTTAGAGCCAGTCAGGTAAATACGTATCACAGGGCCAATGCTGAAATGGAAGGATGATCTCATATACATCAGCAGGCGAGGATTCCACTGGTGGGAAGTGGCCATCAACTGGGGACAACTACGTGAGCAAGTGCATCAACCAGCAGGAAATGGTCCCATGTTTGCCAAGACAAGGATTTGTTCCTCTCTAGTACCTCCAGGTACCACAAACTCACTCTCCCCACTCCTCTGACAAAAATAAAGCATCGCTTTTTGCCCCTATAGCAAATTTTACCTGCAGCTTGAAACATAAATGAGCAACCAGAGCACACACCACTTCCTTCCATTCCTGGAAACAGAGGCCACCACTGGCATTAGCCGCTGCACTGGCAGAGGCAATGCAGACTACACATCTCCAGGGCATCCTCTGGAGACCCAGCCACTAAATTAAGTAGATCCACAGTGAGAAAAATTAGGATTGCATGTTCAGTCTGTTGTCCCTATCCTCAGGGGCTAGCCCTACATCAGCTCTTCTGCAATCAGAACTCCCCCCTGCACACCAATGGGCACAAGCACTTGCTGGTACCATACAGGTTACTGCGCATCTAACACAGCTCCTCAGGGAAGAGAGGGTATCTATTCCTGTTCACAACACGATGTTGATCTCACTGAAGACAGGCCAGGACAGCATGTGGAGATTCAGTGAATCTGTCTGAAAATACATTTGTGAGATAATACTTCCATGTAATGTAACTGCAGTGCAAAATGAAAGTCACGACAGAAAGGAAATCCAATTTCCCCCAGCACAGAGCCATTTACAAAGGACACTTACTGCAGCTTTTGACTGAAAGTCCTGGCTGATCCAGGTGAACAACCTTCAGAGTGGAGGCTAGAAATTACCTTCTAGTGACTCAGCCCCTTCAAGAGGTCACTGTCAGGTAAATGCTCTATTCTGTATCCAACACCAGGCTTTTCTTTACTAAAACCTCAGGATAAACAAGTCACCTCAGTGCTGCACAGAGACATAAAGCTGTCGTACCAAAGAGATACCGGGTGCCTCTGAAATGATGCAAAGTACCACAAAGAGGCGCGTCAAGGTGGCTAGCTTTAAAGGGAGCTGGAGACCTGGGGAGAGGCCTGGCACCCACCCCACTGCATTGCAGCAGCTCCGCAACCTACTGCTACCATGGTACTATGGCCTAAACCTCCCCTGCTGCTGATGGGAGGAAGGAGAAGGTGTTACATAGCCACTAACCAGATCTGTTGGCATGCTCTGACTTCATTCCAAAGACAGTCAGCCTGCTGTGGCTAAATCAGGGACAACACGAAGCATCCTCCAGCATCTCTGCCTGCACCTCCACACCAGCTGGGGAGGGAAGGCTGGTGTGCCACTGATGATGGATGCTCACTCTCCTCCTTTTCTTCCCCGAAGCTTTGCTCAAGGAGAATTAGAAGCAGCTTGATGCTCCTCCCGGTGCTGAGCAGCCTCAGAGCAGTGGGGACACCCTAAGGCTTCAATGACATCTTTGAACATGTTAAAACATACTGCTCTTGCAGAGGTAGAAGTGTCGTGGACTCAGTTGCTCCAGCACACCCAGAGAGATTGAGGTCACTACATACCTCCTGCAGTGAGCACACAGGCATACTGCACCCAGCCAGAGGCACCAGCTATGGGATGAGTAACGCAGTGCAGCCAGTTAGTGGAAAAGGGTAACTATGAGTGACCAAGATACAGCCAAGGGTACGGCAGCCTTCAGGAGAGGGTGTCTCGGGGCAGGACCTAAAATCGGGCCATTCTGGATTTCAATCCCCTTCACACATTTCTCTCCACCAAGGCATGCAGTAAAATTGGCACCTGCCTGGCAGTGCAGGGAGGCTGAAATCCCAGCAGTGTCCCAGGCAGCGTTTGGTCACTCGGGGCACTGGTGTTAAGGTAAGCAGAAGGCACAGGCTGGGCTGGGTTAGCAGTGCCTGGCTGCACCCAATGCTCCTGGGCCAGGCACCCGGAGCTGGCAGACAGGACAGGTGAGAAGGAGCAGCCAGGCAGGACCGTCCTGCTCCTGCGCCATGCAGTCTGAGCTTTACAGAGCCTGTAACATAGCTTAGCAAGGCAAAGGAGAGTCCTTAGAATGCAGCGAGGTGGCTCAAGAGGAGCCAGTCACCTGGGTGGCATTGGGTCTTGCAGGGAGCTCCGGAGCCGGAAGAAGAGCATCTGGCCCAGGAGGTACATGGTCTGGAAGATGTTCTGCATGGAGTAGATCCTGCCCGACCCCGTGAGGAGGGGGAACGGGGCACTGCGCATGGGCAGGGGGCATGGGTCCAGCCTGGGGTGCACACAGAATCACGCCTGCTGTTGACTGGCCTTGTCCAGCACAGGCACAGCCTGGCATTTGGCAGTGCCCTTCAGCACGTCCAAGCATCTCTGGGCAATACCATCCTCACCCTGACCCCCATATAACCAATAGGAGAAACCCTCCAGTAGCCCCCATGCTCAGAGGCAGGCCCCTGACTGCTCCGAAGCCAACTATGTCTGTGTGATAACCAGACCTTCACCAGCTGCTCTCACGGTGAGTGCAGAAAGCAGCTCTCCTGCCACCCAGAACAGCCCTGGACCATAGGGGGAAAGGTAGCTCTGCTCTGGGATTAACTGGAGGCAAGTTCTCCACTAGACAGTCTCTGGAGCCCAAGGCCATGAGCAGAGGATCACTGTCACCGTGCTGCTTCTCACAAGCTACACTCAAAGAGCTGAAAAGCAAGTGTCCTCCTAGCCCACTCTATCTGCAAGGTGCCACAAGTTCCAACAACCCTTGTGGAAGCCCATAAGCCCTAGTGCCTCATTTTCCAGTGGTCACCTGCCCATAGCCCCCAGCACTTTGCCATTCTGGTGCTGGAACAGGAGAACATGTTACAAAGCACCGAGAGGAAGATGGGCAGAGCCAGAGAGATGCGGACAAGCAAGAGCAGGCAGCTCCTGATGCAACGGCCAGACAAGGACCGACAGCTCTCCCATGTGCATCTCAGCAGAGAGCTCATCACCCTGGGGATCCACACAGATGCCTCAGCACTGCTTGGTATGAACCTGACACCAAAGCCATGTTCCTCTCACACAAGAGGAGGACTTGCTAGGCATTGCCTTGCCCTGACCTGGATACCCCCCAGCTCAGTGCACTGACACCAGGGAGCATCAAAGCAGCACTGGGGACAGGAGATGCTGATCCCACCCGCCCCAGGCAGCTCCGGGTTCATGCTCACCGCTCACGGTGCTGGCCCGGGCTCTGCACGGCCAGCAGGGCACCGTCACTTGAGGTCTTCTCCCGCCGTGACTTGCTGTTGTGGTGGCCCTGTTGGCATCAAACACATCAAGCACTCAGTGCGGGGAGCATGACACGAGCCCCAAACCTGGTGGTGGGGAGCCGTGCTCAGTGCAGAGCAAGGGTCACCAGCGAGGAGCCTGCCGATCTGATCTCTACTGGGATCAGAAATCCAGAGCTTAACGCATGCAGCAACAGCTCTTGAATCTCAGGGAGATGCAAGCACTTGAAAAAGCAGCTCCAGCAGCCAAACCAAGCCTTTGCCTGCCCATGTCAAGGACCTCTCCTTCGTTTCGCACAAGGTCAAGATCTGCTTTTAGCTCTTACACCAGAGCCCTGTACGCTGCAATGATGAAACAGCTCCTCTTGCACTTCACCCAGGAGAAACAGGGTTGAAAAGGGACTTTAAAAGTAGCAGGAGGCCGTTGTGGGGCCCTGTACTCAGCTTATCTCCTGCTCACAAAATGCAGTAGGAGATGTGGCTGAATCAGTGTCCCAGCACGCAGGTGTGTGCTGCTGATGGGACACAAAGCAATCCCACCACCCCCACACCCTTATTCCTAGGGCCCTGGAGGAAGAGGTCGCACTCTGGAAGATGGATTCTGGCTTGGACTGATACCAGACCTCTGGGAAAACCCAGCTCTGGGATTGCTGCCCCTTCCCACCATGGCAGCCCCATCCGCCCTCAGTGCGGTACCGATCGCTTGCGCTTCTGCGAGCTCGTTCTGCTGGTGATGTGCAGGTAAGGGGCATCCCCATGGCAGGGCTGTGCCGATTCCATGTGCACCATGACGGAGGGAACCTCCTTTTGCGGGGTCAGCAGCATGGGCCTCAAACTGGCATCTGGTGTATCTAGAGAGGAGAAAGGGAAGGATTAAACCAACCGGAATGCCCTCAGGACAGGGGAGAAGAGGGATCCACCCATATAGGAGTACATTAAAAAACACGTCCTGCAGATGTGAGCAGCAGGACAGCCTGGAGAGGCAGGGACTGGAAAGCCACCAGCCACAGTGCTCCAGGAAAGCGAGGGCTTGGAGCTGTTTTTCAATGAGACAGGGCCACATGTCCCTGCATCCCAAAGCAGGGAGCCTACCAAAGGCCACGAGGGCAGAGAAGTGAGGAAGAGATGTGGAAGGAGATGCTCCACATTTTGCTCCTCTTTTGAAACTAAGACACCTCCTGCCTTCTGTTGCTCACCTTTGCCCACCTCTGCCCAAGCATCTCTCCACCATCCTGTCCTTCCTTTGAGAAGAAAACTGACTGCCATGTCCACCCCTGTCCTCTCCTCTTGAAAAGCAAACCACCGGGGGCTTTATAAAGGGATCCTACTCCCTAGGATGTTGTAGTGCTCCATCAACCTTCAACCACATCAAAAAGCAACCCAGGACATCACCTGCAAGAGAAATCCTATCAGGGATGTGCATCCGAAGGGAAGGGGACACCTCCTCCGTCACTGGCTCCTCATCCACAGGGCTGAAGCTGTCTGCTACCCTCAGTCTGCTGGGAACCTGCATCCTTTGGCTGATGGCTTCTGTGAAGGGCACGTCACAGCGGATGCGGTTCGGGTCCGGTCCCCAAAACAGCCACATCTTTTCTGATGCCCTCAGCTTGCTTGAGCACCCTGGGGTTTCACACAGAGGAAGAGAGAGCTGAGCAGAAGTGGTGGCAAGAACTCTTCCAAACTGGCACCCACACACGTGCTGTAAGACAGCTAAAATACAAGGAGAAACAACTCACACTGTCAGAGCTACCCCAAAGAACAGGGTGTCCCACGAAGCCCCGCTGGTGGGAGCAAGGATGCAGAGCTGCTGCTGCAGGTGGAATTCCTGTCTGGCAGGGTAAGAAAGGGGAGCAAAGCGTGAGTTTAGTGCCTATTGCCTCCACTGATTGCAAGGAAAGGGCAATAGTTCAGCACACCTGAAAGCAGCTCAGTATAGCCTAAAAAACTAGTGGGGAAAAAACACACATCCAGAAGTAAAGTTATTTGGAGGGCTGGGAGCACATTTCCGTGTCCACACACCTTCAAGGAAAAAAAAATGAGGTTTCCTATAAACAAAACACATTTTGGTGGCAAGATTCCAGGTTATCCCAAGAAAACCTGAGCACTCGAACTCCTCCACACACACACTGGCTGCAGTGTCCCCCATTCCCCACCCATCTCCTTGAGTGACCTGCACCAAGCTGAACAAGATGGGTTTGGCCCCAAGCACAGCTTCCAGATGCTGAACCGTCCTCCCACAGAGGAAGGAGAGGAGCACACCAGCATCCCCAGGCCAGCGCCAGCTTCACTCTCTTCCAGGAGGGGACCGGCACCAAGGAGGGACACAGCCCCCACAAGCACCTTCCTGGCTCCCAGCCCTCCATAATTCCTCAACAAGCTGCAGCTGAGGAGAAAACCTCAACAAGTGAGGGCTGCTGAAGCAGCCAGACCTCAGCGCTGCCCCAGATGTGCCACTTGCATGCAGAGACCCCTGCACCCTCATTGCTGCTGCCCCCTTTGAGCTCACTGTGCCCAGAAAGGGCACCCTCTGCTGCCAGGTCAGAATCTCCATCGTAAGAGGGGCTCTCCAGACAGAGGAAAGAGTTTTCCTTTTCTCAAGGAAGAGAAATGGGAAGAGGCGTGCAAGCAGGGTCCCTGCCTTCTCTGCTCATGATCCAGGGACTACATTTAGCAGCCAGGTCTCCGATGCTGCATTTCCAGCCCACCAGGCTGCTCGCAGCAGCACCAGCTAGGACTACCCACTGTCACACTCGCTGATGCTTCTCGGGGTGCTTTGGACCCCCTTTCCTGCCTCAGGATGTCACCCAGGGGAGAGGAGCAGAGGGAAATCCCTCGGCTGTAGCAACAACGCCCAAAGGACCGCAGCAGAAACAGTACCCAAGCCATGATCCTGCTCCCTGTAACTCCAGGCACATGAGGGTGGCAGAACCAGCTCCACGGCAGCAGTAACCAGCACCTGCCTCACCCTGCTTTCTCCTCCTCTGTCATTAAAAACCTTCTCATTGAAGAGACAGAAATTAGCTAGGGCAATTTCCTGCTTCCAGCCACACAGAGCCAAGATCAGATCCTCACCTGACCAGCTCTGACCCAGGGCTGCTGCTGGAAACTGGCTGCGCAGGGGCACAGCAGCCCCTGGCTGCCCCGCAGCTCCTCCACCACCCTGCCGAGACCCCATGCTGGCACGGGTGACACCAGCTCCTGAGTGTCACAATACACACGCACCCTGCTTCTCCCCAGAACCTCAGATAAAATGGGAAGCCCCCACTCAGGAGCAGGGCAGTAAGTCCTGTATGGTACCAAGGCAGAGTCAGTCCCACAGGAGAAACCTGTATCAGAGACCCAACCCCACAGCTGTGGAGACCACAGGGTTCCTCCTTCACATTTTTGGTGCTTTAGAGGAGCGAATGCTCTGTGCTGCTCTCTCAGGCTGCTCTCTGGGAAGCCAGCAGATATTAATAACCATAAATCTGGAGAGGGCACATCGGTTCATGTTCTAATCACCTATGAAACTGCTGCAGCTCCCAAAGAGCAAAGGGAGGGGAGTGAGAAGCAGGTTCTGAGAGACTAAGCTATTAAGGAAAAAAAAAGAGATCAGCTGTCAAAACCCATAAGAACAAAATGCTTAAGTGGCTGGATTTCCTCCTTTAACTTTCTTTAGGGGTTTTCCTAGCTATTGCCAAGCAACCTCCCTTCCCTTGCCAATAGAAGACTCCTTCTCAGGCTTTGCTTTGGCACTTGTATTCGCAGCGACAGGGAATTTCCGGCTCACTAAGCCCGTGAGTAGGTTTAAGCCCTGCAAGTCAGGAAAACCTGCCCTGGGGAGGGGAAACCCCACAATCGCCCTCTCTTCGTCCCTCCGCAGCTCCGTACGAGGCAGGAGGGGATCCCAGCCTGCTCCAGCACCCCCCGCACGCTCAGAATGGGGCGCTGGGGTGCGCAGCTCCCTGCTAAAGGAGCCGACACCGTCCGCGGGTCTGCTCTTTGCCTTGTGGCTGTACCTCGTCACGACAGAGAGCAGTGACAGGCAGCGGAATGGCTTCTGTCACCCGCTCGGGTCCGGCTACGCAGAGCCGGGGTGACCCCTCAGCAGCCCCGGGCCTCGGCTTAGGGAAGCGCCATGGGGTGAAGGGTTGGGGGGATCCGAGCACGACACCCGGCTCTGAGCACCGCGGGGTGGGAGCGGGGCCGGGGTGCTCCATGGGCCCCCTGCGGGGGACACCGTCCCGTCGGGCCGGGGAGCGGCAGCAGAGCCCGTCGGTTCCTGAGCCCCGGGGCGGTTCGCACGGGCGGGGAGCGGACACACTTACTTGGACTCTTCCCTTGCCGTCCAGAGCAAGTTTGGGCCCTGTAAACAGCCGCAGCGGCACCGCCAGCCGGGGCGGAGCCGGGGCCGGTGTCACCGGGGCACCCAACGACCCGCCCTCCCGCCGCGCTTAAAGCCGCCGCCGGTAATCACCGGCCATCAGCGCGGAGCCCTGCCGGGGGCAGCACGGGGGCTGCGGGAGCGCAGAGATGCTCCTGACACGGGGAAACACCCGGGATAGAAGCGGACCCAGAGCTCGATCCCCCTCCCTTGTCCCCAGGCAGCCCAAACGCTTCCAGGGGAGGGCTCAGCGCGGCTCCTCCTGGCGCCCCAATGCAGGCACAGCACGGAGGCAGCGGCCATGCGAGCAGGGAGCTGGGGCAGAGCTAATCTCTCCTGCCGCTCAGTGGAGTCTGCAGCGATAAAATGATCCGTTTGGGATGAACGACAGTTTTAAACACTTCTGAATGGGGACAGAGTCCAAGACCTGACCGTAAAATCTGGTCTTGAAAGGGCTTAAAATAAATCCCACGCTGCCCCAGTCTTGCTATTTAAAGGGGATTATCTAAGAGGTTTAGGAGCACACAGAGGAACAGCAGGACAACTTGTGCACCTAAATCCTTGCAAAGACTTTAGGAAATCCCTCCACACTTCACCTACCGGATGGTCATAGCTCACAGGACACCCTCCAGCTCTCAACCACAGCCCAGGGAAGGCAGAGGCTCCTGTTGGAGTTGGGGGGGGGGGGGGTACCACGGATCTGATCCCCTCCTCGCTAGGGACTGTGCTGGAGGGGGGAAGAATTGGTGCCATTGCCTCCATCACCTCCAAGATGTCAGCCCCAGCACCCCACAAGATGGAAATCTAGCTGTGCCTAGTTAGACATCCCCCTGTGCTGGGGGAAGAAGGAGGGATGTTCAGAGTGATGGCATTTGTCCTCCCCAAGTAACCATTACATGATACAGAGCCCCGCTGTCCTGGGGATGGCTCCCCTGCCTGCCCATGTGTGCATAGCTTTTGCTTTACCTGTTAAACAGTGCCTGAAGCCACTTTTCTGATCCTCTCCCCCATCCCACCGTAGGCGAGCAAGTGAGCAGCAGGGGCTGGAGCTGCCAGTTGGTGTTGAACCTCCACATTCCCTGTGGAAAAACACCACCCTGTGCCACTTGGACAGTGAGGGTTTTTTAATAAATACCTTTTGGTCTTGCACAGAAATATACCAAGTTTTACAGAATACAAACTGCAGGGATAACAACCGAGCATCGAAGACAGAGGATGCAAAGTGCCCTGCTGTCTCCCCCTGGTCTTTTCAAGGCTCCAACCCCAACAATCACTGTCAGGTCTTCCCATAACCCCGGTTTGCTGAGGCTGAAAGGCAGAGGAAAGGCCTGGGAGGGGACAGACACGGTGCCAGCAGCTGCAGACCCCAAATGTGCTGCCCCAGGAGCTGGGCAAGCCTCAGCACTGGTCTGAGGGCACCGACTGTAAGAGCATTGCTGGGACCAAGCGGGGCACAGGCAGGCGATGGATGCACAATAGCCTTGCGGTGCTGGTGGAGGCTGGTGCTGGGGTGAACACCTCGTGGTGGCAGTTTCTGGGCTATTCCTGGGGGGCTGCTAGGCACAACCCCATTTTTAACGCATCAGACATGACTGGGAAAGGCCAGCCCCATTGCCTGGACCCCAAAAGCAGCTGCACAGGTAAAGGGGACAATGATCCCACAGCAAAGCATCTGGCTCTGCTCTAACACAGCTGTCTGGCCAGGGTTTGGCCCTGCTCCTGACCCACGGGTATCACCGGGCTGCGGCATGATCAGCCAGCTCCCACCCCTGCAGCTGCCTCTGTCAGCAGGCCCTCCACACCATGGCCACAGCCACCAAGACCCAAGAGAATACAGTCTCGCATTGCCCTTTACCTGCTCTGGAGAACAAAGAGCCCTAGAGAGAAGGGCCAGGCAGGACAGAGAGGTCTGGGATAGGGAAAGAGGAGGTCTGGCCTGTTCACAGGCTCCCTGTGCCTGTATCCCACCTCTGGGGCAGACACCAGACAGGCCACGCTCCAGGAAAGAGGCACATCCCCATGGGACCAGCTTTGGCTTGAGGCCAGAGATGACCCCACCAGCCAGCTCCACCACAGCCAGCTCCACCTCCAGCTGCCTGGTACCCCACTGTGGGAAAGCAGAGAAGCTGCTACTCTGAAGCCACTTATCTCCCATATAGAACCATCACAAGCCTTTCCCCATTCCCAAGAAGATCTAGGAGATGAGAACACCCCCTGACTGCTCCTCCCTCATCTCTGGACAGCAAATATTGCTACAGGCACCACAGGATGGACTGGGCTCCCCAATCCCACCTGGCATCAAATCCACACAAGGGAGGCACTTTCTCTCCAGGGAGAGTGTGGAGGCTGCTTGTGGGGATGGACAGAAACTCACTTCTGCATCCCCAGCTCCTCATCTGAGCCCCAAGCAGCAAAACAGGGCCCAGCAAGGCCAGGGGGTAAGGCTGAGCAGTGTCCCAGGGAGGCTGTTTCAATCATGTCTCAATGAAAAATGTTATGTCTATTTGAGGGAGGGGAGTGAGGAAATCAAATGCACCATGGGGAGACCCCTGCGTTGAGCCAGGAACAAGCTGCTGCACTGCTCTGGCTGCTACAGCACTTACGTGAGTGGGGAGTGAAGCACAAGAGATGGCTGGTTCCAGAGCCACCCCCGCAGCCCAGCCTCACCACTTGTGGACAACTACTTAGGGTTAGGAGGGTAAGGCTATTGGGATTTCACCAGCTTGTACAGGTGAGATGGAATGCCAAGTGGCACCTGAATGGGGGCCCCAGGCCCGGCCAAGGGAAGGTGAGTGGGTGAATGTGAGTACGTGAAGAGGCAGGGGAGAGGCAGACCCCGCTATTTGCCTGCAGCAGAGGCACTGGCCACGATCTCTTCATACTTGGGTGGTGGGTCGTTGTAGGAGACGCTGGTCTCTTCCCCACTGCTGCTCTCTGGGTTGCCTGTCACCTCCTCATAGGAAGGTGGAGGGGTGGCACTGGACAGTCTGGAGAGGACAGAGACCGAATGCTCTGGTGGGCAGAGGGTGCTGTCTTGCTGAGGGGTGCCCCCAGCTCTGCCATCTCCAGCTGCCCTGTTGCTGGCCTCTCGCTGATACTGGGTTTCCCCTTGGCTCTGCGACCGCTCCCGGTACACCATGACCCTGGGGAGGCTGCGTCCCGTCCGGCTGGCCAGGTAACGGCTCTGGGCATAGGAAGGGCGGTGGCGGGTGGCCTTTTGAAGCTGGCATCTCCAGATGATGAAGAGGGCGATGACGATCAGAAGAGCCACCCCCAAGAGGGGCACCACCACATACATAGCTTCTGAGCGCTCCGTATTGTGCCCTGGGTCCTTGACAGAGTAGACATAGTTGGTGTAGCCCTTCCAAAACTCCATCTGTGGCAGGAACAGAGAAGTAACCATCATGTGCTGCAGGTGGGAAAAGCACCCCTTGACTACTACCAGCAATAATCACTGCCTTCCCTAGGCTAACAGAAGAGGCAGGTTTTTGGCCGTCCCCCACCACTCTACCCGCATCTGCGGGGCTGTGGGAACCAACACAAAAGCTCGTGGGCACATCCCTCAACAGCATCCAACAGCTCCCCAAGCAGGGAGAAATTTGGCTAAATCCAACCCTGGAGAACCGGGGACAACAGCATAAATTTCCTACACATGTCATGGGAGTGCCAGGTCAACCACAGCTTTGGGCATGGTGTCCTCGAATACCAAGGTGAGGGCACTGTCTGGAAAGGGAAAGTCATGCTGGAAACGCTGCTTGGGGATGGAAGAGGACAAAGGGAACAAGAGAGGCTGTTTCCCTTTGCGCTTTCTTCCTTTGCTTCCAGCTTGCTAAGGTGCAAACCCTCACACATCCACTGGGGAGCAGGGCAGGACAAACGCACCGTCTTCTCCTTGTTCTCAAACACTTCCTTGACCTCCTCATAGCTGCAGACCTCCTCAATGCACTCCCGCTCGATGGTGCCCTGCCGGATCTCCTCCAGGAAGCCGTTGGCTCGGGGAAAGCGCTTCAGGACCGAGTGGGCATTCCTGGCCCCCAAGAACACTGCAACACACAAGGCAAAGAGATGCTGAGCAGGACAGCCCCACACCTGACCTCTGCCCAGGCAGGCTTTCCTGCCTGGCTTCCCACAGGATGCTGGTGCTACAGGCATCCCAAACACCAACAGCCCAGGGCTATAGGGTTGTAGTTAGCACAGCAGTGCCCACTGAGGGAGAAACCACCCAGAGGGGTGCAGAGCTCTGCCTGGAGATATACAGAACCAGGAACATCCTTCCAGCTGGGATGCAGTACTAGAGACATTGGAAGTGGCACCTGCAGACCACACAGGGCAGCTAGGAAAGAGACAGAAAGCTCCAAAAAGACTTGTTTTCAACCTCCTGCCCTTGATGGGATTTCACTTTGCTGCAGAGCAAAGGAGATCCTACCAGGTGAGCAGGACCCTGCATGGCTGGGATGCAGAGCCAGGCCTCTGCCAAGGCATGGGGTCAGCAACAAGACAGACTCACAACATAGCGCATTGTGCATCATTCCACAGTCATGCAACACCCCAAAGCCTCCTCTCTTGCTTCACAGCTCCCCAGAAGGGCAGCCAGCCTGCTGGAAGCTGGTGTCCCTGCTGCCAGCTGCTGTGGAGTCATGCAAGCTTAGTTAGGTGGCTTAGGGAACTCTGCTCTGGACCCAGAGAAACCACTGGGCAAACATCCCCAACACACAGGGTCATGAGTCAGATATTGAAAGGGGCCTGAGCCTCTCCTCACATGGCAGCATGTTCTCATCTCTACTGCATTTTGTGCCATGACCTCAAAACCAAACCTTCCTCTGCTCCCAAAGCCTGGGAGACTCAATGGTCTCAGAAGACCATTGTGTCTCACAAGACACATCAGGTCTTCCCAAAGAGCATGCAGTCATGAAGCCAGACATCCCACCTATGAGAAACACAGCCCTTTCAAAGCCTCTCTCTATGGAGGGAGACCTCCATGGGGCACAAGGAGCAAGCACCTACCAGGACCTGCAGCAGCACAAGAAAGGCAAACGAGTTGTTGCCCAGAAGGCACAAACTCCACACAAACCACGATCCTTCAAGGATCCAAACATCCCACGCATGCATTTCATTAGAGTGTTTCCATCAGGCAGCCCAACACATTCAGCTGTAGGCTGGCCCCATCTCTTCCCACCAAGCCACGTAACTGTGCTGCTTCCCTTGAGGAAGATGAATCAGTTCAGCTGGCTGATCCACAGAAACCCATTTACCTCCTTCACCCTCAGGCTGCCTTCCATTGGATCAACCAGATGAACAAACTCACTGCAGCACCATCAACAGATGCAGGGCAAGGGGACAGAAGGAGTTTCCCATTAGACCAGCTTGGCTGTAAGACAGACATACTCCTTCAAGAGGGAGCTTGGTGAAGAACAGATCTAACAGTGAAATGCCACCAACTTCTTTCATTAGGAGCCTTTGCCAGAGATCGGCAGGACTTCACCTTCCATGTATCCTGCTCCTAAAACAATACAGCAAGAAACACTCTCACACTGTCTCAAGGCAGGAACAAGACCATGGTGTAAGCAACTCCCACCGTGGTATACCATCCCATGCCTGAAAGCACTGTGCTCTTTTTGGCCTGTGTAGGTGCGTTTCCCCCCCCCACCATGATTTATTAATGGCTTGTTCAGTGAGTGAGCCTGCAGAGGGCTGCACCGCTGAGGTGTGAATGAGGAGCAGCATGAATGATGTGAGTCACAGACCTTCCCTCAGAAGCAGCTTTATTATGCAAACTTTCTTCTATTTTTGGTTTTACAAGGACAACTGAGAAAGCGTTTCCAGGAGGCACAGAAGGCACGTGGCAGGAGGGCAGGGATCAGCTCGCCTTGGCTTTCACAGTTGAGGGGAGGGAGCACGTTGGCAGGCCTCTTGAGCCTTTCCAGAACGAGATGAGGTTTGACATCCATCCTGTAAACATCCCATCCTCTGCTGGACAAGTCTGCCCTCACCTCCTCTGCCTCTCGCCTTGATCAGGCTGCGGTACCAACTCTCCCCTCCTCGGCACTTGAGTCTGAGCCTCTTCCCAAGCTCCTGAGCACACCCTGAGCAGCAAGCTTGGCGCAGATCTCACTGTCAGGGTTTCCATCCCTGCAGTCACTTGACCCTTTCCCTGCTCTGTCGTGCTGAACTGGCCGCTATAGTGGAAAACAGAAACAAGACACATAGGCAGGCAGGTATCACAAGCAGTGTCCCAGCTGAAAGCAAACTGCGATGGGGCTGTGTGCCTCTTCCTACAGCCAATTTCCCCTCGGGGACCTAGAAATGGCAGAAGAGCAGAAACTAAGTCACTGCTCCCTCCCCTCTTCTACACAGAAAATGCAAAGAGCTCCCACGTGCCTGGGGACCAGAGTAGAAAAACAACCGGCCTTTGGGAAACAAAAGCCTTGCCAACCCTCATCTCCAGCCTGGATCCCCAGACAGGGAGAGCCCACAGCTAAGCAGGTACAGACCCCAAACTGCAGGGCAAAGGGGACCTCCCAAAGCCTCAGCACTGACCCCTTGTGCCTCTCCCACTCTCTCCACACCAGAACCGGTGCTTGGGAAAGACCAGAGCTTTAAGCAGAGGGAGCAGGAGCAAGGGCTGGCTTCACCGCATCACTGCATCCCTGCTGCGTTTCCCGAGGTGCTGCTGGCCTCTGGTGGCAGGCAGGCTTGGCCATACCACAACCCACAGTGGGGACCCCCCCTCTGCAGAACGACACGTGGCTGCGTCTGCAGGGGAACAGCAGGGCTGCACGCTGCTGGGAAGCACATGAGGAACACGCTGACCACCACGTCCCCCCTCACCACAAGGGTGACATCTCCCACAGGTAAGTGCTTGTGAGCCAGCACCTGAGCTCTAAGGGGGAGCAAAGGCAGCAGAGGAGAAAGGCAGGAACCCAGCTGGGTGCCCTCCTCATTAACAGATTAAAATGCCTTTTAAAACCCACTGCCTGATGATCTGTGCTCCCTTCCCCACCTAGCACAGCACAGATAACGAAGGACAGCATACCTGTCATCCCTGGGGTCCTCCTCCTGCCCAGCGTTGGCTGCTGGCTCCACCTTCATAGCTGGCTCTGGCGACATCCCGAGCACATCCCGAGATCCCAGCCGGATCTCTCCATGTCCCCGTTCACAACTGCTGTCCTCCTTGAGCTCCCATCACACCGCTGCACACAGCCTCTGCGCAGGCTGCTCAGAAGAGCGAGGAGGGAGGGTTGAGCCCAGCTCCTTACACACCACACGTTATCCTCCACCCTGCACCCTCGCCAGCCTCAGCCCAGCTTTAGCCGCGGGCCCCATCCAACTCCTTCCGATGCCAAGACACAACGAGCTCCCGGTGAGGCACTGGGAATGCAGAGCCCCAGTGCCACCAGCCACCCAGGCTACAAGGCAGCGTGGCCCAGGGGATGGGTAGCATGTGAGATGCCAGTCATGGGCCACGAGGAGCACTGTTGCTAGAAGACGTCAGCGCAGACCAGCAGCCCCTGCAGAGGGGCCAGTCAGCCCAAAGAGCCCCAGGGAGGCCAGCCTTGCACAGCAAGCATCACGCACACAGAGACATGCTGCAGCGTGCAGGGAGTCCTGGAGAGGTCAGCCCTTCAGCACCTCCTCTCAGCTCCCACCTTGCACAGCGGAAAGAGAAGCACAAGTCAGGCCGGACCTGAGGAATATCCATGGATAACAGCCGATGGCATGTGCTCCCCACAGAGAACAGCACCCCCCCCCCCAGAAAGCACAGGCACCCCTTCCTCGAGAGGTGGCTGCCAATCATCCCCCTTCTCTCCTCCAGCACCACCACCACCACCTCTGCAGCTTGCCTGGGGAGCACTTACTTGCCATGCTGCCTCACTCGGCTACAGGGGGCTCCTGCCTACCTGCAGGGAAGAAAACAGGAGAGTCACTGACAGCTTAAATGTCACCCCTGAAGCCCAAGACCTCCATTGCCCAGGGTGAGGTTCATGCAGGAAGCAGGGTGCTGCCTGGTGGGCCCACGGCAGTGCCTCCTCAGAGAGCCAGGGGCTCATGCTGCCTCCCCACTCATTGCACTGCTGGAGGGGCTCAGGGCACCCTCAGCTCCCTGACAGCCTGGGGCAGGTCTCTGCTGTCCTTGTGCTGCACCAGCCCAGGGCCCTGCCCAAGAAGCCCAGAGGGCTGCAAATAAGAGAAGTAGAAAAATAACTGGCTGAAGGAGAGTCCCCATATCTCATCAGCACACGAGATGACCTGCATGTCAGAAGCAGTCTGGTGCTCTTCCCCTCCACAAGAGATTGATGGATACAGGTAAAGCAGTCATCCTGTTTTTTAGCAGCTTCACAGCCGTGCCAGTTCTCACCTCTGCAACTCCTACCCACAATCTGCAATAAACAGGGCCATGCTATTTTCTCCACTGCCATAAAACTGACTACACTGCAGGAAAGCAAAGGATATGCATCCCTTAAAGGTTATTGGACCAAGCTAAGGGCAGCGGTAAGAGTGGCAGAGCTCCCTGCACACCACCAACAGCTCTCCAACTAGAAAAGCAAAAACCACACTGAAGATAACCCTACAAGAGTGAAACAAAGTCCTGCAGAAGCAGACTATATCCCTCTCTGCTCGCAGGAGGAGTTTCACTCACTTGCTTTTCATGCTTTGTCTTGTCCCTGTGCTTAATGCCCCACTGATCAGACGTAGGGGGCAAACTTATCTTCTCCTGCCCTGTGTGACACCTTGCTTTGGCAAAGCCATAACTCTGTCAGGAGACAGAAGGGACAGGATTAACTAGCTCCTACACTGATTTACGGTGGATGAAGGAGCAGTTAGAAACAGCAGGAACTAAACCACGTGCTGACTTCAGGTTCAGGACTTCAGATATTCAGAGTTATCCCAAAAGCACTTGAATCCGTTGAACTGCAGCAAGGTCAGCGACAGCACAGAGCCCTTCCCGGGGTCAGTGGGGCTAGCAACATGTTTCTCATTGCACACAGACACACAGCAGGGCTTATGCACAGCACCCCAGCGGGCACCACCACTCCTCACCCACAGCCACCTTCTCAGTAAATCTAGCACCAGGAGGCCTTTTCCTCAAGGAACTGTGCACCCAATCCCACTTCTGAGTTGTCCTGGGGCATGTGGGAGCAGCTGGGAAGCCTCTGGATCTGTGCATCCCCCCCACAGCTCTGAGCAGGGACCACCCGACCTGCTTTTGCTGTCATCAATCTTTACAGAGAGACCCAAACCTACAGGACAAATAACACATGCAGAACACACACAGAATGGGAAACTTGCCCCTGTTTCCATACAAAACCCCTGTATCACTCATAGTTACAGGCATTCCCCCCATCTGGTGAACAGAGGATGCAGAAGTAAGGGCATTGTCAGGATCCTGAGCTCCATAACTCACACCATACATCGGGCAACACGTTTAATGCATCAGGAAGATTTTTATCCTAAACTTTTTTCCCAAGTATCCATGTCAATGCACTCAGTATCAGAGCTCAGAGGTGGTTTATTCCAGTGCCACAACAAGACAGGTCTACATAAGCCTACAGGCATGAGCGATGCCTGCGAGCAGGGCAGACATCCCAGACACTTATTTTTGTTTCCACACGCAAATCCCTCACCACCACCCCCGGCTCCAGCACGCAGGAAAAGCTGCACCCCCAGCCAAGGCAGGCAGGCAGCATCCCTCCCGCCCCCGCACAGCCACGCAAGCTGAGAGCAGCCGAAAGCTGGAGGCTGACCCAGCAGACACCCACCCAGTCCCGGTTCTATCCCCACCCCCTCGCTTCCCAACACGCGTTCGCCTCCTCTATAAATACCCCATCGATGGAGGTTGCTACGGCAACCGTGAGGAGGCGCGAGGGATGCAGCCATGAGAGTGAGGATGCTGCAGTCGCACATTTGTGTCTCCCTCGGGCTCCCCCCATTCCGTCACCGATCCCAAAGGAGGGAATCGTGCTGGTGAAACATGGAGTGTGCGTGATGCCGGCAGAGCCTGAACGGGCATGGGAGCGGGGGCACACACCGGGACGTGGCACCTCCTCGGCAGGCTGGGGGCCACAGGGACGGGTCAAGGGATCCACCCTGGGCAGTGCCAGCATGCGGGCAGGCTGCTGGCTCTGCCGGCACCATGGCTGCCAGCCGCCCGGCGGGATCCCAGCGGTACTGGGGGGGTTCCGTGCCAAGATGCAGGGGGGAGAAGGGGCTGCTCGGGCTCCGCTTGCCAAGGGACCGCGGGGTCCCCACGGGTTGTCAGCAAGCCTCGTCCTCCCGGAACAGCCTTCGGGTCCCACCCGGCCCCTCCATCCCAGCTCCGGCTCTGCCCAATCCCAACTCCAAGTTACTTCCACCAGCCTCCAGTGTGCCCCCGCCCCGGGGTCCCCCAAGCCCACACGTGAACTTGCCCAACCGAGGCGAACCCCTCCACCATCACACCCCTGCCCCACCGCCGCAGCTCCCCTGCTCCCCAGACTCCCCTTGCCAGATCCACGACCCCGATTCCCACCTCGCACCCGGCCCAGGACCCTCGCCCCACGCCGCCCTTACCTCATGGCGGCCCCGCCGCAGCCGCTCCCTCCCGCCGACAGGGAGCGGATGGGAAAGCCCCGCCCCGGCATCGCCTCGCCCCGCCCCGGCATCGCCCCTCGACCAATCGGATTCCCCGCAGCCAGCACGCAATAGACGAGCGGAAGGGCGGTGATGGGCGGGGTCACACGCTCCGCCCCCAACCCGGGAGCGGCTGGTAGCCAATGAGAAACGGCTACGGCTGCCGGGCCGTGCCGCAGTGGCTGCTGGGAGTTGTAGTCCCCTGCCCGGGGTGAAGTCGCCGGCGAGGGCCGGTGTCCCCGGGTCCTGTGCCCGTTACTGCCCGCACCTCCGCGGTGCCCTCACGCCGGCCTGGCAGCACTGCCTGCATGCGGCGGGGAGCCTGCAGGCATGGCCCCTGCCTCTTCCTCCTCTTCATCCTCCTCTTCTTCATCCTCCTCTTCTTCATCCTCCTCACTGCCTGAGTCTTCGTAGAGGCAGAGGGTTGCCTGCACGGGGAAGTTCTGCAGCAGCTTCTCCCCCACGGCATACAGATAGTCAAAGGACTTGGATCTAGGCCACAGCAGCCTACGGGGAGACGCGGGGTGAGGCGGGTGAGACACACCCCCCCTCGGCCGCTGCCCTCGGTGCCACCGGACACCGGCTGCATGGTTCTTACCTGACGGGGTGGTGGAAAAACGCCAGCGCTTTGTCGGGGCCGCCGTCTGCCGCTGCCTCCCGAGGCCGAGCCTGAGGAGACACGGTTGTGGTGGGACCAGCCCTGGGGCTCCTGCCGCGGGGTGCGTGGGGACCCCGTTGGCAGCAAGACCCTTCCCTCCATAGACCTGTCAGACGGGTCAGCCTGCCCTGGAGCCGGCTTCTCCCCCCTCCTCTGCCATGGGTTTAGGTCCTCATGCCCCCGCAAAGGAAGCTGGCGCCTATTCCCACCGCCACCACCCCCGACGGGCTTTTGGCCAGCGTAATCTCCCTGCCCCGTGCTCATGGCCGGGCGTCCCGCTAACCCCCTGAGGAATGCCTGCCTGGGCTGGGAACAGGCAGCCCTTTGAGCCCCGTGCTGTGGGTGCTTGGCCATACCCCAGCGAGGCTGCGAGGCTTGTGGGGCAGAGGACTGATGCGCCAGGGGAGGTGGGCACCGCACCGCCATGCACCAGTGCTGGGGTGAAGGAGTCTGGGGCGAGAAGCTGGTTTCTGCCAAAGAGACCCCAATCCTGACAGCAGGAAACTGGGGGGAGCTTAAAACTCACCGTGTCCATCTGCTCCCTCCGCTGACCGGTTCCCTCCTCTGCTCGGGGCAGCCACGGTCTCCAGAGGGGTCTAGGTGCAGAGAGCAGGGTCAGTACGACACCCACCCACCCTGTCCCACTCCCCCGTGCCTTGCCCCCCTCACTGCCCCATGTACTCCAGCCCCACAGCCTCGCCTGCCCAGCTCAGCCCATGCCCATGAGTGTGGCTGGAGCGCTAGGCACACGAGGGTGCTTTCATGCTACCTTGGCCTCAATGCTCCTCACCCTGCTTCAGCCCCACCGTCCCTGGGAGTCCCCAGCATTGCTCCCGGGCTCTACACCCTCTCTCCCACCCCTGGCCACCGGGATCAGAGGGGTCCCCATTGGAAGGATCCCCAGCTGAAGCCTTCCCCACTCCTCCCCAGACCCCCCCATGCCGTGGTACCCAGGTACCTTCCCCCCGGCCCCAGCCGCGGGGCTGCGTGAGCACTGGCCACAGGCACCCGGAGCCCATGGGGAGGCAAGCAGCAAGCAGCAGCTTCCATGGTGGCAGGAAGCTGTGTCCCCTCTGACGCTGCAGCCCCTTGGTGAGGACACCTTTATAGCCCTGCCGCTGCTGGTGAGTCACAGATTCTTCAGGGCAGGGGTCTGAGGGGCTGGGGGTGCAGGAACAGCTTCCCCGGAGTGTGAAATTTGTCCCAGTTGTGTAAACAGAGGGTCGGGGGGAGGCTGGGGGCGGAGGGGCTGTGGAAATCAAAACACAGAAGGGAAAAGTTAGACACCGTTCGTGAGAAAATCCCCAGGGGGGAACAGGGGAGGGCAGAGACAATTAACCAGGATAATTAAGTGCTGTTTGTGGCCATTTGCATACGGCAGGGTGGAGAAGGGATGTTGGACGGTTTGGGCAGCGTGATGGCCATGGGATGTGGACAGCACAATGGGCATGATGAGGACCGTGTCATGGGCGTGCTCTGGGACAGGGTGATGGGGACAGTGTGACAGGCTGCAGTGGCGGCGAGCACAGAGCAATTAGGAGGCAAGTGGTGGTATGCTCAAGAGAGGACAGGGAGGGAGGGCAGATGGCAAGGATGGACCCCAGGCACAGGCAGGACAATTGTCCTGCTCAGGCACCCGTGGCCCCTGCTCAGATCGCCCCAGGGAGCTCCTAGGCTCTGTTTCTACACTGCCAGCACATGCTTTCCCCTGCTCCCTCCCGTCTCCTTTGGCTTTTTGAGCTGAGGACCATACTGGGAGGTGGAGGAGCTTCTCAATACAAGGGTGCAAGGCTTGCTCCCCCCCGCCTCAGCACCACCACGTCCTGTCCCTGCCACTGCTCCTGCCCAGCGCTCAAGGGAGGGTTTCAATATGGGACAAGGAAAGAAAATAGCAAATGGTCCCTGCTGTAGCTGTGCTGTCAGCATCCAAACAGCTCTGTCCAAACACGGGCCAGACCCTCAGCTCCCAGCACAATTTGTCACCAGGGGCCCTCCCTGCCCCTCTCCATCTGCAGCAGCCGGTGAGAGGGAGGGGGCACGGGGCCAGCGCAGCCTCATTACTGTCCCCATTTGCTCCTCATTTGGGCCAAGGGTCTTACAACAACAAACCCTGTGGAGGACCAGCAGGGCCAGGAGGAGAGAAGCAAAAGCCCAGGCTCACTCTGTGGGCACAGGGAGCTCAACCTGTTGGCATTTCACTGCCCCTTCTGACACAGCTCGAAGCGGACACATGGACCATGGCATGTGGTCACCCATCAGCCACCAAGGTGACAGTAAACCACAGCCCTGAACCACTTGGACAAGCCTGCTGTGATAATTAACAAACAAGAAAAACAAGGCATTGCAACTCCCTTCCCGATGCCGAAAGGGTTTAATGCTGAGGTGCAGTAAGCCTCTGATGCAGGCGGAGATTTGCAGATGGATTTTGCAAAGCCGTCGCTAAACAACTCGCAACCCCTGATCCCGAGGGATGGGGCTCTGGGTGCTCACCCTGGCCTGATCGAATGCCTCTGGTTCTTGATAGGGTGATCCCTGGCCACCCTAGCTCCTGCTCTGTGTCATCAGCCACCTCTGTAAGTACCACAGCACCCCTGATGTGGAGCGGGAGGTCTTGGTTAGCACATAGGAAAGGAGGCAGAAAGTTGGGAAGCGCTGGTATGAAGCATTTGAGGTGCCGGGGGGGACACAGGGACAGGAGCGGGGTACAGGGGGGTGGTGGCACTCGCATCTGGGACCGTTCCCAGGGCGGTGTTGCCACACTGGAGTGTTTTGGGCTCAGTCCGGTTTCGCAATAGGCTGTGGGAGGGGGAATTTAGAAAGCAGGCAGAAGGAAAACAAACCACCCCACCGCACTGCCGCTGCCAACCAACCCCCCCTCCACACCCAGCGCTGCGGGCAGGAGAGGAGCCCCACTGGTGGCAGCGAGCAGGAGCTGCTCCCCAGTGTGGTCATCACCCCACCGAGGGACAGGTCACCCTGCTTGGCCAGGGGAAGCATCCCTGAGGCACTGACAGTGTGCTCTGCCCTGATGTAATTCTGTCCTAAAGGGACCTCCGGGCTCTCCTGGGGACACTGGCGTCACTGTCACGTGCATCCCTCCTCATCGTTGTCCTCAGTGGCATGGGAAGGGCAATAACCATAGTGGAGCTTCCTTAGCTCAGGACATCACAGGAGACGAGGCACCCCCAGGGAGGAAGTGGGCACTTTCTCCCCACCAGCACCCAGCCCTCCATCCCTGCCCGCAGCCCTGGCGCAAGGGAGGGCTTTGGCGTCCTTCCCAGGCAGCACTGCCCAGCCTCTGAAGTCTGGCTGGGAGATAGGGAGATGAAAGGGCGCTTGGCGCTCCTCCGCAGGCTTGGGTCAATCGTTAATCGGGGAGGGATCGCTCTCCACTCCTGCAGGTAACCTCCCCCCGCCTCCCACCCACAAAAGCAGAGCCCCCCAGAGCTGCGGCACAGCCAGCGGGGCCATGGGGAGCTGAGCACACACGGAGAGAGGAGCTGCGAGCCTGGGGAGGTGACAGCCAGCCCCCGTCATGGTCTCCATGGGACTTCAGCTGCTGGGCTACGCCGTGGCCTTCCTGGGCTATATCGGCACGCTGGTGGCCACGCTGCTGCCCAGCTGGAAGACCAGCTCCTACGTCGGCGCCAGCATCGTGACAGCCGTGAGCTTCACCAAGGGGTTGTGGATGGAGTGTGCCACGTACAGCACGGGCATCACCCAGTGCGACATCTACAGCTCGCTGCTCAACCTGCCCGCCGACATCCAGGCGGCACAAGCCCTGATGGTGAGCTCCTGCGCCGTGTCCTCCCTCGCCTGCGTCCTCACCATCGTGGGCATGAGGTGCACTGTCTTCAGCCAGGGCTCACCGGCCAAGGACCGGGTGGCAGTGGCGGGCGGCGCAGTCTTTGTGCTCGGGGGGCTGCTCTGCTTCATCCCGCTGGTGTGGAACATCCACGTGGTGCTGCGGGATTTCCGCAACCCCGTCATCCCCGACAGCATGAAGTTCGAGCTCGGGGAGGCTCTTTACCTGGGCATCATCTCCTCCCTCCTCTCCCTCGTCGGCGGCTTCATCCTCTGCACCTCCTGCCCTGCACGGGACACCACGGCCACATATGCAAACACCTACCAGCCCCGGCTGCTGGCAGGCAAGAGCTGCCGGCCCTCCGCCAGCTACACACAGAAGACCAAGAGCGAGCTCAGCTCCTACAACCTGACGGGATACGTGTAATAAGGGCTGCAGCGGGGAACAGGGCTGGCACCTCTCCTGGCTCTCCAAAGCATCTGGGCTGGCACCAAAGCAGCGTGGTAAGAGAGGACACAGCAGCATCCCCAGTGATTGCGGGGTTTGACTCTGGGGATCTGGAGAGCCTTGTGACTGCTCAGAGCTCCCAGCTAGAGGCTTACATTGGTGAAGGACCCTCAATCCAGCTTCTGTTCCCCTCTCCATGCTGCCAGCCTGCAGGCAGCCCCTGACACAGCAGACCCCAGCCTGCAGCCCCACTGAGCCTGCTTGGATGGGAATGGGTGGGCTTGTACCCCAAAGGACCACGGGGACCAGGGATCACAGTGGGGCCAGGGTGTCTGCACGGCTCCAGAGTCACTGCTGTGGGGGTTGAGTGCTGGTTGCAAACTGATGTCTCAATAAATCTGTGTTTCCAGCCAGGCTGTGGCTGAGCTTTCCTGCAGCACCGAGCGGCCCTGGCAGCTCCCCCCTCAGGGTGGGCACTGGCGAGGGCCACATCCTATAGTGTACAGGGCACCCCTTGCTCTGGTTTGTGGTGTCACCCCCCCCAGTCCCATGGCTTTGCCACCCAGGAGCCCAGGTAGGTGGGAATGCTGTTGGGGTGGGGGGGATCCCTCCCCTGCATGGTTTGTACCTGGGCACTGTGCTGGGGGGTTGCCACCGTGGTGAGGGTGCCAGCAGGGACAAGTGGGGTAATAGCAGGCAATGTCCCCCTGCCAGTCCCGCTGCTTCTCAGTGTGCAGGTATCATTGGGTGTGAGGTGCCCACAGGGGAATTTGCTGCCCTGGGGTGCATGTGGTCCCCAGGCGATGGGGAGAGCCCTGGAATCACCACATCTCCATCCCAGGATGCTGCGAGCACCGGCACCCAGGAGATAGCATAGTCCCAAGCACCAGAGGCAGCTGCTGGCCAGGGCAGAGACTGAGCACCTCAGCCCAGTGCAGATGGGTCTCACAGGCAGGTCCTGAACCCAGGGGTCCCTGCAAGAGCTGTTCTGAAGAGGAAAAGTGAGACATTGGTAAGGCACACGGCACAGGCAGACAGGGGCCAGGACTGCTCCACACAACCCTGTGCTGCCACATCACAGCACAGGGCACACAAGGACCCCCTTGCCCTGGCTCCCTGTTCCCCAGGAAGCAGGAGGCTTTGGTCTACCTGCTGTCCCCTCATAAAGTAATTTAGATTAGGTCACAGGGAGCAGGATGTTCCCCGCTCAGACGTCACCACTGTTACCCTTGCACCAGTGAAATCATCTTTGCTGTGGGGTTAACCCGCTCCAGATTATGTCAAGTCATGCTTTCTCCCCTCCTCACCAAGCAAGGGGCTGCCCAGGGACCCATCCTCACTCACTAGAGGGGATCAGGGTGGATTTCAAGGCAAAGGCCAGTCACCCCCTTTGCATGGCCAAGGCACACAGCATCAGCCATGGACCAGCTGAGTCACTTATTGCTGCCCTGTGTGCAGAGGATGGAAGGCTGCAAAGGGTCTGCAGCCCCCCGGGAGACAGCCCAGGTTCACTGAAGTCCTTCAGCCATCAATCTGTTGTTTCTACACAGCTGATGCAGAGAGGAGGCGAGCAAAGAGTTGGTACAAGAGATCACGCCTCCGAAGAGGAGGAATTCCTGGGCGCCACGTCCCCATCCCTCGCCTCCCACCCCGGGCTGCGGGGCCACACAGCGCTGCCTGTGTCTGAGGGCAGGGGCTCTGCTAATTAAACAAAGGGGCATTTGAGATGCTTGGGTCAGAGTCTGATTGCAGCTGGGTTTGTTAACTCTTTCATTCACGCAGCAGAAGGGAAGATCTATGGGTTTAGAGGAGTCAGCTTTTGCATGGCTTACCCCCCACCCGTACCCTTGCAGGTATAGGCAAGGAGAGGCAGAGCAAGTGCTTGGGTACAGAAGCACCCATGGTTTGGACAGATGAGCACAGGGAAAGAGGCCCCTGATGTCCCCAACAGCCCCTCAGGTTTCTTTCTCACCTGTGCAACACCAGACCCCTGTTCCACACCAGATCCCTGTTCCACGGGTGCCGCACACCAGCTTCAGCCAGAGAGGAGCTGATGAGCATCACACTCTGATGGGGATGAACCCTTCCCCAGCCTCCCATGCCTCCAGCCCTGCCAAGGGGAGCCCCTGCATTAAGCATGGCTGAGCTCAGGTAATTTTCCCCTGAAATTCCCCCCTCCAGCATTCCTGGCCTTTAACTTGAACACATCTGAAGATGCAGGAGCAGAGGATGGGGAAGGGAAGGACACTGGGTGCACGAGTGCAGTGGTGGTGGTTATCTCTGCCTCTGGCAATAGCCACGTTCCCAGTTATTGATAAGCCGGGTCCTCGAGGGCAGGCTGGATGTGGCCCAGCCCAAGGCCAGAGAGGGCAGCGAGCATGAGCAAAGCAATGGAGCCAAGACAGCCAGTGTGCACAGAGCCAGCTCCTCATCACCTCTTGTCCCTCACTCAGTAGGAAAAGCTGAGGGTGCTCCAGGTTTTCCTGCAGGGAAACGGGATGCAAGGGGATGGGCTGCCAGAGGCTGGGTGGGGAATGATGAGCTCCCCTAACCTCGAAGGACAGCATGGGAGACTTGCAGCCCCCGGCTGGAGGGTTAGGCTGCAGTGACTCATCCCTTGTCATAAGGAAATGAGTCCTTCCTCTCTCTTCATGCTCTGGATGGTGCCTCAGATGAAGAAAGGGGTGGCAATAAAACACAAACATGTCCCTATCTTCCCCCTGGAGCCCTCCTGGCAAGCAGAGTTCAGCTGCTTCTGGCATCCCTGACCTGCCTCTCATCCCTGCCTAGCACAGCTCGTCTGAAGCAGCAGCAAGTAATCCCTGCAGGGGAGTATCAGGCAGGGTGCTGGGTGAGCCCATCTCTGCTCACAGCCCCCAGGAAGGGCTCAGATAGGAGAGGCAGGAGGGGGGAAGAAAATTCAGGCCAAGTTCCTGATGGGCTGAGGCACTTGGAAGGGCTTCCACATTCCTCCAACCTCCTCCCATCCGCAGCACGCTCCCAGCCTCCTCCTGTGCCATGCTGGAGCCTCCCAGCCCCTTGGCAAGCCAGGGCTGGTGTGGAAGAGGACAAACCCTTCCCACCCTGACATTACAGCAGCCTTTCCAGGAGCAGCAGGGGATGTGCTATGGGGAAGGGCTGCTCTCAGGCACTGCAAACCCTGACTCCTAGCCTGGGCTAAGCAACAGTCATGAACTGCTGCTGGGAATGGGGATGGCTCATGTGGGGTCACACAGACTGGGTATTGCCATGAGACAGCGCCCGGCTCTTCTGGCTTTAGTGGGAGATGTTGCAATGGAGGTGAGGGGTAGTGAGAAACCAGTAGTAGCTGTTGGAAAACTCCTTCAGTTGTAGGAGAAGCCTGTGCACAAACTCATGGCTTGCTATAGCCTCCTGGAAGAGAGCTGCTTAAAGGTGCTTTAAAGGGTCTTTAAAGAAAGATGAGGGAAACAAGGCAGGATAAGCTCCATGGCCCCTTTCTGTTCAGCAGCTGAGATTGCTGGAAAGCACCTTCCTGGCTGGGTTTGATGGACAGCTTGGGAATCTATCAGGAGAGTTACAAAAAGCATTTACCTTGGAAAATGGTGATACCTGTGAAGAGGACACAGAGGTTGCAGGCACCGCATTAACATCACAGCTGGTTTTCTCTGTACTTTGAGTCTAATCGATGCTAGAGGAGCTCCAGATTAGCAATCTCAGCCAACTAACACGCGTGCAATCTGTAGCAGTGAGAGCAGGCTTTATCAGTAGAACCTACACTGATTCAGCAAGCAAAACAAGCTTTATCAGCAGGACATGCTTTTATAGTGGTGTGAACATCAACTCTTCCAGGGATCTTACAGAAATATTGGTGAAATCAGACTCTATCTCTAACCCTGGAGAACTGGCCTGGAGGATTGAAGACAAATTGTCCTGCACCCTCAGCACCTCCCCTGCCAATTGATGCCTAAACAGCACCCACCCAAGCTCTCTGCTGTGTGCCAGGGGTCTGGAAGAAGCAACAAGTCACCCTGTATGCAGAGCAACCAGGGAGGCTTCACCGGCTCTGGGCTCGCTGCTTATCCCCATTCAGGATTGCAGAGGAAGGCTGTGTCTGAGGAAGCTTTTCCCACACCGCAGATGTAATCTCTCCTCGAGGCAGGTGCCTTTGTTCACAGAACTCACAACACCCTCTGCTTCTGGGGTGTCCAGCCTGCTAAAAACGGCTCAGAGCAGGACAAGTCCCACGTCACGAACAGCGTGGTTGCCTCGAACTCGCTTTCCTAAAAGAGCTGTGTTCTGGGTCCGGGTTTCGCGGGTCCCTGGAGCGAAGTCCCACACCATTGGCTATACCTGTCAGGGGCTCTCAGCATTGCTCCAACAGATGTGGTTTTATCACCTGAATTTTTAGCCCTTTCCTTTTGTAGCAGGTGAGAGCAATTCCAGCCTTCAGTGCTTCCCAAGGCATAGTGAAACCCAGGCATCACAGAGCTAAGGGCAGCCCGCAGCCATTGCTGGCTCCATGGTCACGATGATGACGTGCCCTTTGAGCTATTCCAGTACTCTTTCAGGAGCAAAGATGCTACTCTTTGCCTTTGGATTTTCCCCTGGCTGCGTGGAGGCCAGGCACCACATCCTACAGAGCATGGGAAGGCGAGGGGACAATTAACCTCTGATATCCCCCATGACTGAATGCTTCCTCATTGGAAGCATGCTGCCTGCTCTTCCCAGCCCATGGGAGACCTGTCCCTGTAGCTGACATCCCAGGGCTTGCTCACAGACAAGGGTCTTGTTGCATGTTATGGCCTCCTTCCCAAAACATCCCCTCTCCAGACGCGCTAGGGTCACCAGCATCCCACACAAGCCCCATGGGCTGTTTTCTGGCTAGTAAATCTGCATTGAAAGTGGGTCAGTTTTACCACACAGGTCACAGGCAGATGCAGTTAAGATCATCCGCAGTGCTTGTGGTTGAGTAAAAGCCTTAGGGGGGGAAGAATTAATAACCAGGGCAAAACACACTGTAAAGGCAGCCAGGACTTGCACAGAGACAAGTTTATCCTCAACACAGCTGCCCTTTCCCATGGGAGATCTTTGCAAAGCAAAGGGAGTCTGCCCACCAAACACAGCACTACCAGCTCATGGGTGGGATGAAAAGAGCTGCGCTGCCCATGGCAGTGTGAGTGCAAGGGGAAATATGGAACTGCTCTTCCCCAGCTCCTCACACCTCTCTCAGTGCTG